AAAAAAAAAAATTAGGTTATAAATAGAAATGCTATTGTTGCCGTTAAAAAAGAAAACCAAAGATGCAAGAGCACCCCTTTGACCTATAGGTTCTTATACTTACCAATCCCTTATACACAGTCTCTTTAACCTTCCCTCCCTATAGATTAGGTTTTTTTAAAAAAAAAAAAACCTTATACACAACCTCTTTATACTGCCCTCCCTATAGATTAGGTTATAGAAATATTGTTGTTGCCATTAAAAAAAAAAAACTCTTATACACAGTCTCTTTAGGCTCTACTAGCTTTTTATATACAGTCTCTTTAGACTCCCTTCCCTATGGATTAGATTATAAAAATGTTATTGTTGCTGTTAAAAAAAACCCTTGTACACAATCTCTTTAGGTTGTATTTAAAAAAAAAAAAAAAAAAACCCCCCCCATCTACACAGCTTCTTTAGCTTCTACTAGTCCCTTATACACAATCTCTTTAAACTCCCCTCCCTGTAGATTAAATTATAGAAATTTTATCATTGCCATTTAAAAAAAAAAAAAAAACCCTGGGACTATTGGGATATGGGATTTTACTTTCTGTATTCAAAAAAAGAAAAAATGCAGAAAAAATATACCAAGATTTTTACTAAAGAAAATGCAAAAAAAAAAAAACTAAAAAGAACATATCATGGTTTAATGTTTTCTAATGAGAATCAATAATAAGATATTGGGATATGGGATTGTGTAATGGTTGGTGATAGAGGATCCCTTGTATATCTCTATAGGGCATTTTTATCTTGAATACTACCTTAAATTCAACAGATAATTAAGGTAAAATTACTGAAAATGAGTGCTTCAAAGCATAATTAATGACGATGACAAAATTTTCACCTATTAATTTTTGTAAGCCTTGACAATATAGTATTTTGTGTACAAAATATGCTGTATACTAGTACACAAAATGTTAATAGGTAAAAACTGCATTTTACCTATTAATTTTGCATTGTAGCATGCCCTTTCTAGCAAATTTTCCCTCAATCAAAAGTTGTTTGTTGTGAACTTGTATTAAATGTTATTGTGAGAGACAAAATACTCCGATGAGCCGAGAAAAATTTATGTAGTAAACAAGGTTGAGGGCCTTCAGCCTCCAAGAACTAAAGGTCTTCAGTTCAATTTCCACCTTTCATGTCTTCACTTCTTAAATTCCATCATTCCCTTACTATAAGAAAAAAAAAAAAAAAAACAAGAAATGCTCCAAATGGGATTAAAGTTGAATTTCACATACTCAGATGGAGGGTTTTAGACAATCTATCGTATCATAGATTGAGCTGCCTCCAATTTGCTTTTTCTTCTTATGAAATCTTTGCTAATTTATTGACAAAAGTGGCTCAAACATAATCCTTAAATAAATAGTACTCCATTTTCATCTACTTGGCTAAGAATATTTTGTCTAATGCGCAAGAAGGAAAGCGCGTTTTCAACAATGATTGCGGAGAAATCAGCGCTTTTATGCGCCTAATCATGAAAAGCTACATTGATTCCCTTGCGCCACTCTTTGATTTCTTTGTTCTTTTGATACAATGAAAGGAGTACTAATGTACTAGTACAAGTACCCAAAAAAAAAATCTTCAAATCTTTGTGGAGATTTTATCTACTCACTTCATCCCATTTTGATAGTATTGTTTTCTTTTTTCATCCATCTCAAATTATAGTTCACCTTCTAATTGAAAAATATAATTGACTTTTAACTTCTCTAAAATACCCAAATTTAATATACTAAGTATAGTCTACATCATTTAATATACTAGTTAACTTTTTCACTAACAATTGCTTTGATATATGTTTTGAATGGTGCAATATACCATTATTATAACTATTGTAATTTATGTAAAGGTGTAGTGATTAGTGATACTCCTAACATTAATGTAAGGATATTTTAGAAAAGCATTGGACTAGATTTTATTTTTCCAACAAAATAAACTAATTTTTTTAACTATACGAGAAAAAAACCAAAACTATCAAAGTGGGTCGGAGAAGTATTATAAAACGGAGCATATACCAACAAAATCTTGACGAGAATTTCAGCCATATTACAAAATGGAACGTATTATAAAGCATGTTTAAGGCTCTATTAATTGTGTCTAAACCTATTCTTTAATCAATGTCCTTACAATTGATCATTTTAAGATTCGTGTATGATGGCAAATTTCAGTCATAGTATTTGGACAACTGTGTTCTATGAATAGGATTCTTGTAATATGGACCCAACTGTGCACCTAATTTACACGTAATTTATCATTTAAATGCATATACTCACATTAATTATCTCATTTGCATATCCCCTCTATTTTACCCTTCACAACTTCCCCAAATATTTAACAAAAAAAAATTTTCCTTTATATTTAGATACTTTCTCGACTTAATTTCCAGTTGGATGCACACCCCTTGTATGTTAGATCGATAAATCAAGATTGACTTTCATTTTTTGCAACAATTAGATGATATACTCCAAAAAGAAAAACAAACACGTGATCATATTTCATGAACAATTGCTAAACTAACTTCTAAGGTGAATGTTAAAAACAGTCTCTTTTTTGTTTTTGTCAAAACCAAAAGAAAAAAAAAGGGGTTTGCATTGAAAACATGATGAAACAGGCTTAAACCTACTTATTAAACCGTGTTTTTTAGGTTGAGGGGGCAGACGTATTTCATCCTCTATAATTAATTAAGAGAAATTGCTAGTTGTAGCTAAAAATTGATGGCTAGAATTGCGGATAGTCATGAAAAGAGATTAGGCAGTGGCAACTCAAGATGCAAAGCAATCATTGGATTGAGGATAAAAGGGCTGTCAATCAGCATCACATGTGCATGTGATTGAGGCATTGAGCTAACCACATTTTGTATAAACTACAAAAATAGTTCTTCCTACCATTGTATGAGTTTCTCGTTTTGTTTGAGTTAGTTGTATTTTTGATTAATCCTTTAGATGCAATTCATTTGTATTCATCTCACTGGTTTCGATTGCAACGATTGTAATCTTACATTCTCTCTCTCTCTCTCTCTCTCTCTCTCTATATATATATATATATATATATATATATATATATAGTAAAAATGCTCTACATTGCATGGAGTTTATTAGTTTATCAACTTTATTTATGAGTTCATTTTTATCAAGCCTAAGCACTCTTCCATAGATATAATTGAAGAGGTCTAAGAATTGGATTTTTCTGGCTTATTGGGAATTTTTCTCCAAGAGGCATAAAAATTGGATGTTTCTAGTTACTATCCAATGAGCATCGGTTATTACACTTTGTTTACATTTAAATACCACAAACTCACGTTCATTATTGTCCTTTGATTTTTTTTTTTTTGGTCAATTATCATCATTTACATCTGTTCCTACTTCTACTCTAACATATTTAAAGAAGATGATCTAATAGAATCACGGAGAACCAACGGAGACTGAACCCAATTATCATCATCATTATTGTCCTTCGTTTGTCAATGTTTTTCTGATTTAACTCCACTTTTTCAAAAGAGCAACACCTATAGGGTCTTTCTTAATTAGATTAACCCTTTGAAACAAATATTTTAGTTGGCTACATTTGTTTAGAGATGACACGGTAACAAGAAGGAAAAAAAAAGGGAACAGAAAGGTTCACTCATTGCACGACCTGAAAACTTGTGCTTCCATTTAATGGCAGACACAGCGAATAAAGATGTCAGGTCACAAAATTGGTCTAGCAAGAGCCAAGTACAAAAGTACCACATGATGGAATTCTCAAGTGTTTCGGTACCTAAAATTTTTAAATAATATTTTATTTATATTATAAACATATTTTTTATATTTTTTAAATTATTTTTTTATTTCACGTACATCACATCATAAAAAAATACTCCCTCCGTCCCACTTTGTTAGTCTTGTTTTCCTTTTTCGTCCGTCCCAAATTGTAGTCCACTTTCCCATTAAGAAATGTAGTAATCTTTCAAATTGTCTAAAATACCCTTATTAAATATCTTGTTATTAATACATTATTATTAAATACTAACCCACTACATTGAATACATTGAGTTTTTCCAATATATTGAATACATTAACTACATTGATTAGCATAAGGGTATTTTAGGAAATTATTAATCTAAATTTATGTTTCCAACCAAATTAATTACACTTTTTTAATCTGTGTGAAAAAAAGACCAAGACTAAGAAAACGGGACGGAGGGAGTACTATTATAATTATTACAAATAATATTTCAATTAATACTCTGTCCAAACAAACAAAATAGATCTTGAAAATTTAGGTCCCATAGCTTCATATAGGCTGCTTGATCTGAATAGGGAACTAGGGTGCTTCCCAGGAACAACGTGACTAGGTTTTCCAATTGGGGGCCAAACATCCAATGTATGGCAAAAATGTTTTTTTTTTTTTTAGGTTGAAGTCCCATATACTTAATAACAAAATAGTTGTTTAAGGTGAAAATCTATATTTGTAAATAAAAATTTGAGGTCTGCTGCATGCCATATTTTCAAATTTAGGGCAAGTATTCAATCAAAACCTATTTTAATACAAAAATTCATAATCCAGACAACAATTTTACAGTTCTTGGAGGGGCACACTGAGAATTTTGAAATTCTTGGGAAGCAGGAAGGGGCACTGTGTTTCCACCTGTGCTTCCCAGTTAGAGTGAGGAACAATTGGATCAACCACCCTCAGAATTGTGATAACTACAAATATCTCCCCTCTAGGTTTGCCATATTACACTTTGCCACCTTTGGTTGTATGAAATGACTATAATACCCTCGCCGTACTTTCAAGCAAAATTAATTTCCTCTTCAATATTTTTTTTTTATTTTCTTCCTTTTAATGTTTTAACAGAAAAGAGACAGAAAGAAGGTGATGCAAGAGGAAATGGAGAGTAGAAAAGCAAAGCTTTGTATAATATGATATACAAATACCCACTCCTCATTTCTGTTTCTGTTGGTCAACAAGTGCAACATGAACAGATAAAGAATAGAAGACTGGCAGACACAGAACAAAACTTAGCTACGTGCTGTGATTAGTCCTTGCAACATTACATGAATCCACAAGAAGTTTTTGGAGTATCAAAGTTAGCTATGTGCCATGATTTCTTGATGAATTTTGTCCTGTAATCTGAATATGCTGCTTGCATACAGACACTACAATCAGTCTGTGATTGCCAATCTACGTAAACCTAAGGGGGGACTATAGCAACCCAGCTGATTTGGTCTGGCTTTTGCTGAAAAAACAAGAAATTCTGAAATTTGCTTTCTGCTCTAGATCTAGACAACATCAACCGTGGCCTGATCAGGGTTTGCAAATTGCTCTCTGCACCTGCAACCGCAAAAGCCCTTGGCCCGGCAAAATTCTGCTGGAACTTGGCACATTCACCAGGCAATTCATCTCCTTGCTAATGCCGGGGAATTTTCAAGACTAACTTCTGTTGCAATAGTTAATGTTAGCATGTTAATGGCATGCAAGATAACAACCCCATATCCAGCTATACAGTCATATCGGGTCAATGATAATTGCACGCTCAAATTCTCAGGATGGTTGAAAGATGAGGCAACGTCACAAACATTACTCAGAAAATGCAAAATTAAGGACGAAAGCTTTATACCAGCATTAAGCATCCTAGTGCAATGACAAGACAACCTTCAAGCTCTCTGCTGCAGCAACACAGGGACAACAATTGAATAACCCTAGAAAGCACAATGATCAATGGACAAAAGTACGTGCTTAAAGAGGACGGCTACTATAGTATTAGAAGGAAGCAAATGAGCTTACAAAATCTGCATTATTGCAAAGTTCATGATTTACCAGTTGAAGCGAGATTAGCAGTAATCTAGAACAGCACCATTCTGTCCATTTATTGGATAAAACATATCCCTAGATGAATAAGACAAGGCTTCGACACTGAAATCAAAATCGACCACAGCACTTTTAAAAGATATGATGGGACATTATGCAAACCCTGACAGCCTTCTTACCTTTCTAGACGCGTCTGTATATCTAAGGTTGGGGAGAAGATGTGAATTGACAGGCAGAGTGCATGAATGAAGGAAATTTTGAATATAAATACCAGGTTTTTCACCTTGGTTGTGGTTCTCGATTGACTCAACAGGCATCAATGGAGCATCTAACTTCCTCAGGACTGCACTGTACGTATGAATATGACTATATGTATGAAATGCCAATGAACATTAACATATCAATACTTTGACATCAATAGAGATAAACTCCAATATTAAAAACATAATACCGCTTTCCAAACACTCCTCCTGTCAAAAGCTAAGTACCTCCTTTTACTAAATCTAAGAGTCCAGAAGTGGCATGTGAGCAAGACCAATAAGGTGTTGATTGTTAACTGGCGAGCGTTGTCTCACCTATTAGAAAAGCTCCATGATCATAATACTCTTTTGTTAGATGTAAACAATTGCAGAACTTTACAATCACCTTTGATCTGTTGAAGTCTAGTCAATATACGAGTCTAATCAACTTTTTTGCAAAGGCACAAAATGTAATAAATGAATCAAAGTAATGAAATGGGATGTTAACAGCAACTATTAGATATACCTTGTAACAAAAGAACCGTTCAGAAAACACTTTTTTGTCATTAAAGGAAAGTAAGATCTGCAGTGATTACCTTTTTCATAAAGCTTTTCAAAAAGATCTTATCTTATTTACGTACTCATATACTGAAACTTATCAGATCATAGATTAATAAAGTTTGCCAATTCTTTCCACAAATGCCTTCTTCCTACTATTCCACACGTAAACCTTCACGCAAAAGAATATCCAGATATGGAGGACAAAGTATGACTCCATTTGACTCTAGTAAAAGAGACTGTCACATCAAATATACACTGCAGTCTCCTAAAATTAATCTCTCAGAGTCTGCCCTTCTACCAAATACACGATTTAATTAAGGATACAGTATGCAATATATAAACAGCCACAAAATGTAACTTTCACAGGGATAATTATAGCACATACAAGGTCTAATTTTTTGAGAAACAAACTGAATTTTATTTTCAGCTTTGAAAATTCTCAATGATCTAAACTGACTATAACAAACAGAACATCTGAAACCTTTAGTAGTTCCTCTCCTTAACCATTTAGCAAGAAAGCTTTGTAAATCCAAATGAATCTAGGGACACATACCTTGAGAAAGAAGACTAATAAGTTCTATTTTTCATGGATTAAGATTCTTCAGAACTAAGGGCCTGTTTGGAACCTGAGTTTTTTGGGAATTTGTCTAAAACTTTACTGTAGTGCACTGTAGAAGTTTTTGAAAAAATTTTGTAGAAGTTTTTGTAAGGTGAAAAACGTTTTTTTTCTTTTTTTTTTTCTCTTTCCCTTTCTTTTTCTTTCTTTCCTTTTTCTTTTCTTTCCTCTCTTTCTTCTTCTTCTTCTTCTTCTTCCCCGTTACCTCCGCCACCCCCAGCAGCAACTCCACTCCCGCCGCCCCCCTCTGCCCCGCCTTCCCCCTCCCCCCGCCACCCCCCTCTGCCCCGCCTTCCCCCTCTCCCGTCGCCCCATCTGCGCCGCCCCCCTCTGCCCTTCCCCTCCCCCCGCCACCCCCCTCTGCCCGCCTTCCCCCTCTCCCCCCGCCCATCTGCGCGCGCCCCCTCTGCCCCTTCCCCCCCTCTCCCCCTCTGCCGTCCCCTCCGCGCCACGCCCATTCCCCCCTGCCCCCCTCGCGCCCTCCTCTGCGCCACCCCCTCTGCGCCGGACGAAAAAAAAAAAAAAAGACAAGAGAGGATGATGGCAGGGGAGGAAGAGGGGGAGAGGGAAAAAAAGGGAGAAAAAAAAGACCGGCACCGGCACCGGAAATTGGTGACGGAGCCGGCAATGGAGGTGGTGGTGGGGGAGGAATAGAGTTGCAAACGAGTCGAACCGAGTCGAGTTTTGAGCTAATCGAGCCGAGTCTCGACTAAATTTTACCGAGCTCGAGCTCGACGAGCTGGCAATTTTCGAGCTCGAGCTCGACTCGAATCAAGTCGAGCCGAGCTCGAAAAAAATTTAAAAAATTATTTTATTTTTAAAAAAAATAAATAAAATAATATTTTTTTCTGAATAAATAATAAAATATTAAGGATATATACGTAATTTCACTATGAAAATAAAAAATATATATATAATATAAGTAATTTTATTATTAAATAAAAATAAAAAAATATATATATATACTCAAGCTCGCGAGCCTAACGAGCTTAATATTCTGAGCTCGAGTTTGACTCGAGCTCGACTCGAGCTTGACTCGAACCGCTCGCGAGCGGCTCGATTCGTTTGCAGCCCTAGGGAGGAAGAAGAAGAAAAAGGGGAAGGGAATTTTTTTTTGTTGTGTTTTGGATATTTTAAGTGTGTAGGTTAAAAACTTTGATAAGTTTTTTGGAGTTCCTGTAGCAAAAGTTGTTAAAAAACTAGTTTTATACAAACTTGGTAAAAAATGGTTTCTCCTGAATAACAGTTCAAATCTTAAGCAGTTTCTCCTGTTTAACCTCAAGCCAGAATGCTTTATGTATTCAGGCATGGGCATGGAGGCTTCTTACCTAACTACTTCTCAGGGTATGCGTGGATGCAATTCTGAATAGAAGAAAAGGAGCTAATAACGAATCCTATACATAGGAATCAACCAAATAATCCATGATAACATGCAAACTCAGTTAATTATAACAATCCCTTTGTTATGGATGTAACTCTTGAAATGATCAGAGGCAATTTCTTTAAAACATATAAAAGCCCTGTCTTGAAGGTAACAAGTTAATACATGAAATTCACATCAAGAAGTGTGTTTTCTTCACATAACAGCACGGAACAGAAATTAGATAATTCATTCAGTTTCTGATTATTCACCTTGCAGGACGCTTTTCACAAACTCCAAATTTAGTTTCCAGATAAATGAAAAGGCCAAAACATCTGAAGAAATAGTCATAAGTTGAATGATACTGTAAGTCTAAATGTGTCAATTACATAGAGCAATATTATGCCCCAAGACAGACAAAAGGTATTGAACCATATAATTGCCCAAAGGCAGGCACTCTCTTGTACAGATCCTTAAAGTGTGTTACTTAATTGCCCCAAGGCAGACATTCTCTTCTACAGATCCTGAAAGAATGTTACTTGATTTCACATTATAACGTCTCTAATTCTCATTCGGCTTCCTAAAACCAAATAATTCCATAGAGTACGTAATACTGAATCCATTTCCAAGCCCTGCAAAGCCAAAGCTAAATAAGCTCAAAAAGAACCTATCCTTCCATCTTCCTCCCACAGGTGTGATTGCATAAAAGTACCTAGTGATTTAAAAAATATCTAGAGTACTGACAAATGAGGAAAAAATATGCATTTTGAGAAACATATGCCATAATTACACTACAGGTAAACACCTCAGTGCTTTTTCTTTTTAAATAAAATTAGCATTGGTGCAAAGGAAGAGAATAAAATATAAAGGTAAAAACTGCTATAGCAGCATCTGCATCAATTTCTGGCCAAGCTTTGATCTGCCTACAAATTCTCTTATGCTTCCCAGAGAAATAGAAAAAGCAAGCAGTAAAAAGGGACTCGTAATAAGATCATGTGACCTGCAAACAATAAGCTTGTATAAACATAGGTCAGCTTTGCTTTTCCTTTCCAAAAGCATACGTTCTTAGCTTTTAAATAGTGTTACCCCACATAGAAAAATATAAGTAAGCTTTATTCATGCATAAGGAAATCAGACACTGAGGATTTAAGACTGGCCATGTCGCAATAGCAGTAAATCCCCAAAATAGTAGACTTTCAAAAAGGTTTATGTGCTCCCAAGCCTTGAAATCTCCAAGCAACATTGACAAGGCAGGCTACATTTGCCCTAAATTTTTAAAATATGTGGAAGTAAGAGGGTTGAATTGATACCAACTCTAGAAAACATCTTTTCGCTCCTCCAATATACGTAGTGCAGTATGTCCCTCAGAGAAAATGAAGCAATAATTTGCTGGACCAAGTTTTACATGGACAATGCAAATACATCAAATCTTGACCCAACTAGCTTTTCAAGCTTCAAACTTAACCTTCCTGTATCATTACAGGTAAAGAATTCAAGCAAACGTCTCTTTTGGTTATCATAAAGAAAAAAGATCCACTATAATTCACAAATGGCCAACACCTATATCTAATATGATTACAGGTAAGTTGAAGCTGCAAAGAGCCAGAGAGACATAGCTCATCAATACATGGCACAATAAAGAGAGACAACACCATGCTCCAAACAAAAAAAGTTTTTGTACAAGCATCATGGGAGCTAACTTTTGCACTGAAATTTCCCAAAGAAATAAAGATCAAATGACAGACATTTCAATTTTAAGAATTTACAAGGAATGACAAGTACGTTGTCTACTCTTTTCTCATTTTTTCTTGAACTTCTTAATGTACTAAATAAGCTATTAAACAAATGGAGAAATATAATCAAGTATAATATAATCTCATAGTCAATAAAATCACAGCTCAGTGAGGGTCTTGTTAGCACTCAACCAAACCAAGAATGCAAAATCTTCTATTCATTCTTCCAAGCATACAATATCAAAGAGAAACCAAGATTATGTGACTGAGTATCTCGGAATCTCTGTGACCATGACCAATGTAATGTCTGTGGATCACAGAGAGGTTGGCTAGCCCATAACTTCTCAGGTGGCGCACAAGTCTTGAACATGAAAACTGCATTTCCAAGTGACGTAGCAAAGAGCCAGTTATGAACATCCCAAAATACTTCAATTCCAATCCCATCAACCAAAATGGTATGATTCCCTCGAAATTTCCAAGTCAGTCGCTTCACCTGCAACAATGGCTTAGTATCCACCCGGATAACAAGGCATGGATCGCTGATGCCAGTCGTATCACATTCAATCATGAGATCATGTACAGGGCCATTGTCACAAAACTGAGCCTTAGTCCCAAACATTTTTCTACCAAAAATGTGCTCTCTCTTTGCAATCAGAACAGAACCAGATGAAGCAGGGGTGGCACCCGTTTTCTTCAAAGCTTCTTTTCTCATGTCTCCTAGCAGTAAAATAATTTGTCTCTCACAAACAATCCCCAAATAGAAGCCCTCCAACGGCTCAGGCCCGGATCCAAATTTAGCTGAAGAAAGGTCCCAATACACATCAAGTTTACTAGAACTTGCTTCTAAGCTCTTCGACCCTTTCTTCTTAGAGAACAACCACGGTTTGATATCAACCTTACAAAGACTCTGATTCGTGTTATCATCAATCCCAACACTAAGGCCTTGACCCATCAAATTTTTACTCCAAGTAACAGTTATTGAGCAAGATTTACCGCGCAATCGACATTGATAAACAGAAGTTACTAAATTCTGAGCAGCTTTATTAGCAGTTGATGAAGATGACGATGAAAAATCTGCAACTTGAACCCCATTTTCCCCAAAACAAGAAGGAAAATCCTTCATAGCTTATACACCCAAAACAAGAAACTTCACTTCTTATCTGCTTAATAATGTCCCCTTCTCCTCCCCCCTGTTTATCCAAAGCAGTTCTTGGATGACTTCTACAAATTGTAAAAACAGGACACAAAATTTAAGTCTAAACTCATAACTAGACAACATCATCTGAAGCCAAGAACGTATATTCAGTTACATACCTTAGTTAATCAGAGAAAATAGCAAGAACCCATTTGAGAAAACAGCTCAAATCTACCAGAGAAGGCCAGATTTGATCTGGGCTGGGAGCAGTTCAGATGCATTCTGCTGCACAGAAAAACCCATGAATCCACAGTTTAGAGGAAAAAAAAGGAAGTCCTAGTACTAAGTATAAAATAAAAGGATGAGGAGGGTCCCTCTAAATCAAGAGACAAAATTGGGGAATGTAGACAGTAAAAAGATAAAGCATTTAGAAAGGGAGACTAGAGAAGGAGACAAAAAGTGAGACTCCTCATACTCATTTCACTGTCACTGGCTCTCCTGTACCAAAGAAGCTGAAAACCCCATATAAAAAATAACAGGTCTGGTCAATTAATTATGAGAAGAATGGAGAAGATGAGGTGGTGAAGGCCAAGGAAAAAGAGCAAGATGACACCATGGTAGTGGTGGAAAGGCTGGATTTCGAACATCATTATTTACTCAGAAGAAAGCAGGAGGAAAAAGAATCTAGTCTTGTCTGTCTTTTTTTTTTGGTTTTTGTTTTTGTTCATCTCTTTCACTACTGTTTCTCTCTGTTTGTTTTTTAACTTTTTTTTTCCCTATTTTTGCTTTACCTGACATGGTCACATGTAATCTAGCACCTAAGTAAAGCAGTCTAGTCATAAAAAAGTGTTGGTTAACAGAAACTGATTTCCACATTGCGTATTTGAAGAAAGAATTTTCAAGTTTGAAACTCATGTTAATTATTGATCATGATGGTCTAGGTGTTAATTACGCAACAAAAAATTACTGGGGTAAAAGAAAATAGTATGAAATATAAAATATGGAAGACAAAATCTAGGGCCAAAAATACACAGGAAAATCTTTATCACCTTCTCACTATATAATTTTTTTTTGGTAACTAGAAACATGTCCCGACTCAAGCTCTTTGGATCCGAGTTGGTACACCAAATTAGAGGGAAACGTTGCAGCCCCACACAACTTTTTTCAGGGCGAATCAGATAACAGTTTCAATTCCAAGATTTTTTGTGTCCTAAAGAACCGCTGCTACTACTGAACCAATCTCGTGGGGGCCTCTCACTATTATTTTAATAATATAGTTCTTATTTATTAGACTATATAATAAAACAAATTCTGAGAGTGTAAATAATATTTTTCAATATATATATAGGGGTGGTTGGGTATAATTTTGTGTAACCTAGATTTTTGAGAATTATCTGTTGAAAATTGGCATTTGAAAAATACTTATTAAGGATATATGGTTTTGGATTGATAGTAAGGTTTAGGGTTGCCTTTGGAAAGGTCAAATGGTTTTTGATTGATCGTAAAGTTTTGCATTTGAGCATTCGAAAGCTATTCGGACATTAGATTACGAGAAAAAAGAGAAATGTTTAGAGGTCAAACTGAAAACAAGTGGTCAAATGGGGCACAAATTGGGTATTTTTTTTTTTTAACCTTATAAATTGGGTTTTGATTTTCATGAAAAGTGAAGGGTAAAATTTAATGTGGGGAAACTAATGGGAGCAAATAAACGGCAAATGTTTGCTACTATTTAATTTGGCATATCCTTGCAAGAATTTTAGGCCTCGTTTGGATTGCATTTTTCGTCATTTTTTATGAAAAAATTACTGTAGCGATTTGATGTATGTGAGGGAAAAATGTAATAGGGAAATGTGATCACGAAAAACGACGTAATTTTTCGACGAAAAACAGCAATCCAAACAAATTATTTGAAGGAAGTACAGGGCAAGGTTGAGAGTAATAAAGGAAAACGGTTCTTGAGAGTTGGGAGGTTGCATTTAATATTAGGTCAAGGAATGCACACTACACCATTTGGATTCCTAATGCCGGCAGTGGTTGGTGGTGGCCTGCAACTGGTGGTGGGACGGGGTAATGGTGGTCTGCCTCTGCCGGGCCTCAAAATACTCAGAATCTGCAGCAATCCCAGTTAATTAAGATCCTTGACCAGCTACAAATTACTAGAGATGCATTTAAAAATCAGATACAGCCAAGTGATTAAGAATATTTGTTTCCTGTCTTAGATTATATGTACATTACTCTCTCACATTCATGGTTTTTTATTTAAAAATGTAGAGGAGAGTTTTAAACGAGTTGAGTCAAATCAGTTGGGTTTTGGTTGACTGTAGAGCAGGGTTCTAAATGAGTTGAGTCAATTTTTTATCCAGTCAACTCGAATATATGATGCTTGAATTTTAGTTCGGACTCGATTGGAAACCTCAAATGACATCAAGTTTGAATTCGAATTAAGTTCCAACTCGATTAAGATGGAGTTTGTGCCAAATTGAGCTAAAATAAAATAAAATATTAATTATTAGTATGTTCGACGAGCCTTTGAATCTATTATTTTTGGGTTCAAATTTAACTCGAACATCTTATTGAGTTTTTTGGTACCAACTCCAGCTCGATGAATGTCCAACGAAGTTGAGTCATTTGTTTGCGAGCCGACTCAATCTGCTTGTAGCCCTAATCTAGAGTTAAACAAATATATTAATCAGATAATTATGGAGGGCTTTTCCTCAACGATTTCTTACTTCTAAATCATGTAAGAAACCAAAGAGTGAAATAGCCTTAAAGACTCTTTTTTTTTTTTTTTTGTGTGACTTTGTATGCTATGTGCCATGCATGAAATAGGCAAACTACAAATCTAGAATACCATCCATCTCTTTAGTTGTTAGCATAACAAAATTGTGACAACTATGTTATGTTCACTTCAACGATGGCATAAACTATGTAAGGTCGTTTTCTTTAATTTTTTGGACAACTTTTGGATTCCAAACCACTATTTGATAAGTATTCTTGCTTAAGCAATCCCTAACAAATACTCCAGCCATTGCCAACCCATCATTAGCACCTTTGGACATAATAAAGAAATATATATATATATATATACATATAGTTAAAGGTTGGTGGTTAAGAAGTTGGATTTGGGTGACCAACAACAATGGACTTAGATTTGATTATAAAGATTAGTTGGATCAGTACCTTGGACAAAAGGCATATTCAGCCTTTGTTTTTCAACTTTAACTATTACTATTTTTTTTCTCTTCTCTCTTCTCATCCCTTGGAATATTGCAAGCTATACTTGAGTAGTTGTGTGTGGTGTCATTACATGCTGGATCCACATGGTTTCAGCGTGCAGGACACGCTCTTTTCGTAGAAAAATGCTCGAAGGATAGAACAAATTGTCCGTAAAATATTTTTCCCAATATAAATGGTCCCAAAGGACTTGTCCACACTGCTTTTCCAGGGAGACGAGGGGAGCTTACATTTCATTGTCAGGATTGAATGGTCTGATTTTTTTGTCAAACAGTTACACACAAGTTAAATTAAAATTAACCTTAACACTCCGAGGATTGAATAGTCTAATGGGTTCTAAAATAGATCGAGTCTTTGCATGTTACTCATATTGCATGAGGAAAATTGATTAATTTGGAGCATTTTGATGCACTTAGGCAGTGTGTTAAAATTGCCCAAGAATGTCCCTCATATATATTTTGTGTGTCTCTGCATTAAAATTACTAATTTAACAATTGATTGTGTTTATTAGGCCAATTGGTAAAGGACACTTGATTATCTAATTGCTTACTGAAGTTTGAAACGTGAAATATGAATGTATTAAGTTATTGAATTATTAAATATTTAATCAAATACATTCGAGGGTGTATCACATTCAGTGACAAGTGAATAATTTATCACTTAACCACCAATTTGCCACAATTAAATGTGGCCTTACTTAAAAAAATTCAAGCTGGTGCATAGTACATCCGTCTGATCCGGTGGTGGTTCAGTCCCCTCTGGATTACCCCAAGACCTCTTCAGGCCCTCTCTCTCCCTATAGTATAGAAAGCTATCGTATCGACAAAAAAAAAAAAAAAAGAATAACTTATCACTTGTTTTTTGGAATAAGTTTTACTTAAGAAATTCAATGCCACTTAATTAATTCAGATGTTCAAGTTTTAGTTATCAAATGCATCTAAACATATTAAAATCTGAATCCATTAAATTTAAGTGCTGAATTAGGTTATCAAACAAGGCCTAATCTTATATACATTGACAGAATATACACTATCATCGACAAATACTTGAGTACATACCCTGTTAATATAGGAAAGATTAATCCTTTTTGCAAAGACAATTTTGTTTAGCTTTGGTAAGATGGTGTAAAGTCTATTTGGATGAGTGCGGTAGTGAATTTTCATTAACTTGGATGGTTGCCTTATGCTATTTACTTGAGTGCTAGTTATTTTATTGACTACTACTAGGGGGAAGTACCCGTGCATCGCGCAGGTGTTTAGTGCCTGTGATTAAAGAGAATTTTTTAGTGGTTGAAGTGAATATTATTTTCATATTAACCAAGAAGTTATTTTTGATCAAGAACCTATCGGTACATATCATCCATATTGCTGCAAGGTGAGCAAGTGAATAAAGATAAGAGTAGGATAACAACGCATATTAAGTAATATTAATAAAATTATTGTAAATAATAATGCATATTAACCGAATCATACTTAATATGAGTAGAAGGAAATGCACGGATAATGGAGTCGTTTAGAGGGCATTAAACCTAATCCTGGAAGCCGAAAAGGGAACAAACGGAAGAATGTGAAAAAGGAGACATCAGAATAACCATAATCGATACTTAGACATTAAATCATCAATATACCTATGTTTTTGGCTGTTTAATTGAGATGTAAATAGTGGTATATTGCTGGTGTGAAAGTTGTTTCAAAGACAGGGGCTTCAGACATGGGAACTCATGCATTGGTATTATTATGAGTTGTTTCACATAATTGAATGAATAGCTGCAAGTGTCTTTATTTTAATTGCACTATGACACTATTTCAGTAAATTACACCCATACATATGTTTATATAAGTTGTACCCAATGTACTAACGATTGCAAAATAATCCCTCAGTCCAAAAATACCTAGATGTCCTTATGCTATATAAGAATGAGTTTTGGTCAAATTTGTCAAATGCTACTGTATGATAACATCTAACAATCATTTCATTTGGTGCAATAGCTAATAAATTAAGTAGGCAAAGATTTTACAAATTATTAGAAATTGAAGTTATTAACTTGTATAAATTAAGATCCATTTTTATCTACTTTGGGAGCTTTGTTTTTGGTAAAATTGTAATAAAGTATTTACAAGGATCTTCAAAAGATAAGAATATGTTTGTCCGTATAATTTTTTGGTAGTACTAAATTTGCTATAGTTTCAGTCAATTGGTGATAAACAACTCCAACTTCAATCAAATTTTTGAACTATTTATCTGGCATAATTTGTGGTGTAATACTAATAAAGTATGTATCTAAATTTAGGTTGAATTCTAATGCTTTGTGAAGGAAGTCAGGAATGAAAGCTTTAATGAATTCTATTCAACCACTGTGGACTACTCAATTACCATAAGTTTAGCAAAATATAAGAGAAATA